ATAATATTTTAGTTTTTAGAAAAAAGATACTGTTACGATCTGATAGATCGATATATCCAATCATAGATTGGTATGTTAATGTAGGATCTGTTTGCCCTCCCTCAGGTACCTATAGGAGAGGTACCCTAAAGATAAGCGGATCACTGTGCATAATAATATAACGACATAGTCAAGGCGTGGGGTGTGTGCACAGTGACAAGCTAAGAGAGAGGGTTTAGAGGGTGTGTACCTTATTGGTTTAACCCCTTATTTATAGATGGGTTACCTGGCAGGAGTGGACTTTTGGGTCTCTCAGGAGCATTGGGGGTCCAATTGTTTGATCCATTGCTGCCGTAGTAGGATTAGCATGATTAAGGAATGTTTCTTTAATTCCCTCTTAGCTGTTAGCACTATTTTGGCCTTCTAGAATATAAACCTTTGTCAGGTCCATAACAGATACAAAAAATTATTTGATAAGACTTGTTTTGTAATTTTTTTTTTAAATTATAACAATTTTTTTTATTTTAAGAATTAAATTTAGAAAATATATACGAGTTTTTTTTTTATTTTGTATCTTAACTTAAAAAACACACATAAAATCCCCATTTTCATGACTATTTTATAAAAGGAAAATTTGCTTATCATGATGGTGAAAAAAATTTCTCGTGCCACATGTTATAACTATGTATTTGAGGAGTACTTAGTTATAATATTAAAATTATTTTTTTTTTCTCTTGTCTAAAGTTGTCTGCTAATATGGAGAGAGGAAAAATTAATTTTCTTATTATAATCGTGTACTCTACATAATACATAATTATAGTGGGTGATAGGAAAAGATTTTTTAGGCAAAAACATGAGAAAAAGCACCCTTTATAAATAAGTTTTAAGAAAAAATAAAATAGAGAGAGTAAAGTACATTGGGGAAAAAGGATATACTTGCCACTATAAAAATTTATCACTCGTACAACCATCCTAACTACAATTGATTTTCATTAGTCCAATGGTTATAATTTATTGAAAATTATTTGGTTGCTTTTATTAATTAATTATTAATTCAGAATAAACTCAATAAATTAAAACCATTAGATTGACAAAAGTTAACGGTGATTAGGTTGTTGTAAGGGTGATAAACTTTTGGAGTGACAAGTATATCTTGCCCGAAGTACCTTTTAGGTTCTCAACAAATATCTCGGAGCCCAATTTAATTCTGTAGGAAAAGAAAGTTGACTTGTGGTCCCTCCGAAATTCAAAATAAACTCATTTAGTCCTTTTAGCGACTAACGTGGGTCTTCTTTGAGTTTTAGAGATATCACAATGTCAACTAATTAAGTTTATTTTAAATTTTTCAGAGTGTGCACAAATCAACTTTTTTTATGTGACAAATTAAAATGGACCCTATAATTTTTATCAAGGACCCAAAAAAATACTTTACTCTCATAAATAAAAATAAAATTTGAACACAGTGAAACGCACCTAGGGGTGTAAATAGGCTGGGCTAGATTAGGCCTGTGTGATAAACGTTGTATTTGGCCTAGCTTGTTAACCTGCGTAAGCCTCAAATTATAAGTCAGGCCTGACCTATATTTAATAAACTAAAAGCCTTGGTCTAGGCATGTTGGTCTTTTTAAGCCTATTAAACGTTCAACAATCAAAATATTAACTAAAATAATATTATTTTATTATTTAAAATTATTAAAATGATAATTTTATTTATTTGATTTGAAATAAATATAATATAGGCCGACTTGTGAGCTTATAGGTCCGACATTTATTATTTGGTAGTAATAAAATCCTATCACCATTATATCTTAAACGTTGACTCCCGTCAATCAACGATTATTATTTATTTCTATTTGTACCTTTATATATATATATATATATATTATTTTTTAGGAAAAAGATACAAAAAATTATTTAATAAGACTTGTTTTGTAAAAATAATTATTTTATAAATTATAACAAATTTTTTATTTTTAGAATTAAATTTATAAATTAAATACGAATTGTTTTTGTTTTGTATTTTAACTTTTAACTTAAAAAACACATAAAATCCCAATTTTCATGACTATTTTATAAAAGGGAAATTTACTTCTCATGTTGGTGTAAAAAAAACTTATTCTGCCACATATTATAGCTAGGTCTTTGGGGAGTACTTAGTTATAATATTTAAGTTCATTTTTTTCTCTTGTCTGAAGTTGTCTACTAACATGGGGAGAGAGAACAAAATTATTTTTCTTATTATAATTATGTACTCTAAATAATACATAACTATAATGGGTGGGAGAAAAAGATTTTTTTTTTTGCAAAAACATGAGAAGAAGGACCCTTTATAAAACAATTTTAAGAAAAATGAGAGTAAAGAAGTACCTTGGGAAGGATATACTTACCGGTATAAAAAACTAAAATATTACTATTTTAATAAATAATTATGAATATATAGCTGTTTCGAAAGTATTTACGGATCTATTGCACTCATTCACACCCAAATTATACATGACCATTCACATCTAAGTTAGGCGTGACTCACAAGGCATTCACACCTAATTTAAGCGTGACTCGTCTGGTATTGACATGTGGCACAAAAAAATTAACTTACGAATCATAAAACTTTAAAAAATCATAACTTTTGACTCAGGTATCCAAACCAGGTAATTTTTTTTGATTTCACAAAACTTTTCGAGATCTACGCAGTGACACATCATTTGACATATTTTATCTCTTATAAACACAGTTCAAATTTTCAACATTGTATAATAAGAGCATTTAAACCCGAAAGTCTCCAAGTTCTGGGTCTGTGATTTAATATAAAAAAATAAATAAAGATTTAGTTTGTGATTTAAATTAAAAAAATAAAATTTTCTAATTTTAATATCAAAAATAAATAAAGATTTGGTTTGTGATTTAAATTTATAAAAATCCAAAAAAGTATTATTAATAAGGAAAAATAATTAAAGATTTTATTTGAGATTTAAACTCAAATATCAATTTGAAAAATCTGTATTAATAAAAGAAACAATTAAATTAATATTCTAAGGAAGAAAGATTTTATTTTTGAAAATCATTCAGAGGCTATAAGCTTCTAACGAATCCAGCCATAAAGAACCAGCCATTGTTTCGTATCAAAGGCTTTTCCAAACTTCAGAGTTCAGGATTCAATTTCGGGTTTGATTTTCTTTTCTTAATCCATTAGTCCATTTTTTTTATTTTTCTTTTAAATGTATTTATTTTTTCTTTCTCTTAGGAATACATAATTTAAATGGCTTTAAACAAAAAAGTCATAAAATAGAAGGATGTAACTTACGATACGGTTCGATTAAAGTCATAAAAAAGTTATAAATTTTTAAATTATTTTTTATTATATTTTTGTATCTTACGATTTGATATGAATAATGATACGAAAAATCGGCCAAACAATACATGATACGTATTGCGATTCAATAACCTTGTACACCATTTTTTTTAAACACTTGATATAAAATATATATTTTAATATGACATTAAGTTTCCTTATTTATACATGGACTAATCCTCCTTTGTGCCATCTTTAATTTTAGACCACAACTTAAATGATAAAGTCTCTCTATTCACAGTGATAAAAATACAGCCATAGGATAGGGATAGAGAGGTTCAAGTATGCAGAAGACTGTGTTTGGTATTAATTCGGAAAGAAATTAGAGGCTTCTAGGTTTAAACGCTCGTATAGTACTATTGTTGCAAATTTGAACTGTGTTTGTGAGAAATGAAATATGTCAAATGAGATGTCATTGCGTAGATCTCGTAAAGTTATGTGAAAACAAAAAAAAGTTACCTAATTTAGATACTCGAGTAAAGAGTTATGGCTTATGAGTTAAACTGTTAATTTTTTGTGCAACATGTCAACAACATACGAGTCACACATAAATTAGGAGAGAATGCCTTATGAGTCACGCTTAACTTAGACGTGAATGGTCACGCTAAAGTTGGACGTGAATGAGTGTAGCATATTCGTAGTTAGGTTCAAAACAGCAACTAATATTTTAATTTTTTAGCGTATACTTACTACTATAAAAGTTCATCGCTCTTACAACAACCTAATTACTATTGACTTTTGTCAATCTAATAATTTTAATTTATTGAAATTATTTGGTTGCTTTTATTAATTAGTTATTAATTCAGAATAAACCCAATAAATTATAACCGTTAGATTGACAAAAATTAACGGTGATTAGGTTAGTTGTAAGAGTGATAAACTTTTGTGATGATAAGTATATCCTGCCCGAAGTACCTTTTAGGTTCTCAACAAATATCTCGGAGCCCAATTTAATTTCCTAGAAAAAAAAGTCAACTTGTGGTCCTTCCGAAATTCAAAATAAACTCATGTTAGCCTTTTTAGCGACTAATGTACGTCTTCTTTGAATTTTAGAGAGATTACGATTTTGACTAATTAAGTCTATTTTAAATTGTTCTCATAGTGATCACAAATCAACTTTTTCTCTATCTAAGGGGGCGTTTGGTAGAAGATAAATATTTTTGTACCAGAGAAATATAATTACTAGGAAAATGGTAGAAAAATGAGTTTGGTAGGAAAGTGAAAAAATGTTGTTTGATAGGCAAAAAATTATCGAGAAAATTGATTTTAATTTTCTAAGTTTATGTTTGGTTGAAAGAAAAATATTGATGGAAAAATAAGTAAAATTACAACAACCACCCTTAAATTACCATAATAAAGGTCAATGCCTGAGGTCATTTTGGTTTCTTATTTCAGGATCCTTTTTCGATTTTTTGGGTAAACAAACAAATACCACTTAGAAGATAATATTATTTAACAGTGTTTTTTCTTTTCTTTTTTTACACACAAAAGGCAATTACTAGGCAAATTATGTTCCTATCTAAATTTTTGAAAACCTAGTACCAAAAACATAGACATCTAAAAACACTACGTCCATTTGCTTAGGTATCTCTACAAAAGCTCCTGTCAAACACACCCTAGGATATTAAAATGGATCCCATAATTTTTAGTAAGGACCCAAAAAAAAAATTAAAATACTTTACTCGCGTGATTAAAAATAAAAACGCACCAAATAACTCCTCTCTCGAAAAAGAGAATTGAGATTTGAGCGTAGAATACAAATTTTGGTTATTTTTCAACCTCTCATTTGTTTGATTATCTTCTAACTTTGTCTCTGTTTAATTAATGGCGTTAGATTCTTCTCTAATCCCTCCTTCACCCATCACGGTGATCGACCTCGAAGCTGGTTCCACCGAACTAATTCAGTGCCGTATATGTTTTGAAACTGAAGGTAATTTTGTTTTCATCTATTTTCTTTTTACTTTTTTTTTTTTTCGTTTGGAGATTAGGGCTTTCATTATCTATTTTCAGTTAGGGCTACATCATTAGTGTTTTTTTTTTAGTTCTCAATTGGTTTATCCTCTGAACTATGTCCGCTTAGACCCCTTGTCGGATAATTTTATTAAAGTTTAAAAAAGTTTCTGAATTTCAAAAAGTGAGGGGAAGAATTTGAAATTTTCTCAAAACCCTTCAAAATCCTATTTATTCTTAAAATTTAAGTTCCCATTGCAGGGGTACGGGGGAGGGAATATTTGAAATTACTCGGATGCCCTTAACATTAAAATCAAAATGAAAAACCCTCTTCCTTCCAACGCTTCTCTTTCTCTACCACATCACTTCCTTTCTCGTGCTTCACCTCCGCTGCTGGACTTCCTTTCTCCGCCGAGATCGCCGTCATATAACAGTGGTGTTGGAGTTTTCGGGATTTGTGTATGTGTGTCTGCCCTGTCTGTGCGTAACCTTTGCCGTTTGTTTCTGTACACGCATAAATTAATTTTTGAATATTTTATGACTTTAGTTCGGGTGTGTATTATTGTATTAAATATTAATGCATATGCCAACTTGCCAAGGGATATTTATAATATAGCACATGCTTTTTTAATTTAATAATTCGTTTTAATTTCTATTAAACAAATTATTCTAAATAATTCATGTACATATTTGTTATTATTTTTTGTGATACATAATTATATTAATTTTTTTTAAAAAAAGGGTATCTCTCCTAAATTTATTTTTTCATTCCCAGGCTCGGCTCGAACTCCAGACCTAAGGGCCCGGATTCCTTACCATTTGTGTTTTGGTACATCATTAGTGATTTTAACTTCTACTCTTCAGTTTATTTCATTTTGTTTGACTACAATTGAAGAACTTAAGTCCAAGTACTTTATCCTCATTTTATTTGAATTCGAGCTTAAAGCATTTCAATTCAGCAATTATGTACCTGTTCTTAGTTCATAGTTCCCACCTATGTAGTATCGATACTATCGATACTGACACGGGACACGAGACACGATACGTCACGACACTCCGACACGTTAATTCTAAAAAATGTTAGATTTCGACACGTTAAGACACGTCTTGATATTAAATATTATTTTTAATTTATGTAATGTATATTATATTTAATACTCAATAATTTAACAAAAAAATGAAGTTAAACTTATAATACCCATCAATTTTACAAAGAAATATAAGATATCCCAAATATTTATATTGAACTCAATAAAATAGTAATCGTAATGCAACGAATCTAATAATTGGATCTAAAAACGCAACGCAATACAACCTTTAAACCTTTTTTTGAATCTCTATAATGCGTGTTGGACTGTCGGGGAGTGTCGGAGTGTCAGTCAGTGTCGGGAAGTGTTGGACACGACATTTTAGGGTTTTTGAATTGTCGGTGCTTCATAGGTTCCCACTTTAAATCCTTAGTTTTGTTTGTTGCAGTTCTGTATTGACTGGCTGTAAATGTATGGAAGCTTCATTATTGAGCTTAACATTTAAATGTATCATGATATATTCTATCAATTACCATCTATCTGTTTTATTTATTTATTTATTTTTTATTCCCCTCAGGTAGACATTTCATAGCTCCTTGCAAGTGTAAAGGTACATCAAAATATGTTCATCGAGAGTGTTTGGATAATTGGCGAGCAGTTAAGGTAAGGATACTGTCTCCGTTTGAAGTTTTTGAATTTCAACATTGTGTTATACTATAGGCCATATCAAGAAATATTCCATGTCCAGCGAGCATTGTGTAATAACTATGTGATTAATATGTGATGGATATGATTGCTAGTTAAGGGTGGCAACTTGTAACTTTATTTGTAACACTGACTGAAGGCTGTTTTTGGTGGTCCTTATACTTTTTGTTCTGCGGATCAATTAAGCAATGTGCATGCTCCATTATCTTTGATCCTGTAAAGTAAAGGGTAGGAGTCTTAAGGATTCTAAACACAGACTTACAGAGGAATGGTGTTGATGCTTCCCCTTATATTATTTTCCTGTCGTCTCTCTGTTTCTTCCCACTGTCAATGATAAAAAGGTTTTACGTGTTTACTTGATTTATTTTAGGTGGTTTGTGTTCATAAGTTTAGTTTACTCCTTATGGCTTATAATGCATATTTTCTCTGCTCTGCAAAATCACTTTTGGGATCTCCTGCCGTGTACACATATTTGATATTTGGCTTGGTAGCTGTCTTGAGTGTGCTTGTCCTTGGAATTCTATAAGATATGTATTCATTTGAATTTAATGGGTATACTGAAACTTTTTTAATGATATTTACTGTGCCCATATACTTATTTTTAAATGAATTTTTCCTTTACCTAATGATAAATAGAAGCATAGGGTTGTAGACCATATGAGCTAATTTCCCCTAGGAAAAAGATCTCTAAAGTTCAGGGTGCCCCTTAGAGAATAAAGTGTGAGTGGATAATTGTTGATAGAAAATCACCCATATATATTGTACAGTTACAAGCATACCGCCAACGATCTGTGGATGTATGATATACAAGCACTTGCTTCCCAAATTTTATTGCTAATATTTCTTCGTGCTGAAAAGCACTCTCTACAGTGGTTGGCCAAATAAATAAATCTATATTACTAAATATTCTGCAGGAAGGATTTGCATTTGCTCACTGCACTACCTGCAAGGCTCCATATCATTTGCGTGTTAATGGTGCTTATAGGATATGGCGTACCTTGAAATTTCGGTTTTTTGTCACCAGAGACATTTTGTTTATATTCCTGGCTGTACAGCTTGTAGGCTAATTTTTTCCATTCTCCTAGCCATGTAAAAGCTTATCCATTTGTAATTTCTGAATTGCATATAGATGTTCTGATTCTACATGGCAACACCTTATTCCGTTTGTCTGCAGGTCATTGCTTCACTGGCTTATTTGGTTTATCTAGTAGATGGTTACCAACAGTATTGGCTTCGTCTTGTTTGGAGTTTTGATAGTGAGCTGAGCTTTTACTACATATGTGGTAAACTACTTTAAACTTGAGCAGTAATCAACAAAACGCTTATACCAAGTATTTTCTATTTTTTTTTATATCTTCTGTCCACAGATTTTTTTATTTTTTTTTAGGGTAAAACAGACAGTTTTCTTTATCCATACATAAGATGATACTGGTTTTGTTGCTGATTTCATTTCGGTATTGTCAAATGTAGGAGCTCTGTTGTTTTTTGTGTTGCTTGGCCTGTCTGGGTGCTTCATTACCTGTTATGATGGAAGAATTTGCAATGATTTGGCTCAGCCTTGTCGTGAAATATGTCTTTGTTGCTGTCAACATGGGTAGTAACTCGGCTTTTATTTACTGATGAGCCTTTGACATTGTTAAAACACATAATTATACTCTTAGCATCTGTATGAAGCATCATTTGTTTTCTTTTTGAATTTTGTTAATACATTTTATGGTTCCAGAAACAATGCTTGGAGAGTAATTTATGACATTTAATTTGCACTATATTGGAGACCTTTCCTTGCACTAAGAAGGAATTCTTATGAAATTCAGGTTTTCAAAATACATACAAATGCAATTCTTATGAAATTCAGATTTTCAAAATACATATAAATGCAGTTCTTTGTTTATACATCCTTGGACATGCTAAATATAGAAAGTGTTCGATCATAGGGTATCGAGGATGTCCAATCAGAGATGTGGGGGTCCATTAGTTGGGCCCATAGCAGAAAGTATGTTGTTACTTTATATTTGAAGCATGTTACATCAGCAGCTGGTTGAGATTGGTTTTGTTTTTGTTTTCAGTTATTGCAGAGTTTGTGCGGACAGTCGTATGTGGACGGATTGCACTGCATGCTTTGAGAGTTGTGGAAACATGGCAACTGAATGTGGTGGTTGCATGGGAGATGCTGAGGAAGGAAGGCTACCATGTTTATTCATAATGGCTTTGATTTTTCTGGGACTCTTTACTGTGTTTGGGATATTTTACTGTGTATTAGTGGCTACCATGGTCGGACAACGGATTTGGCAGCGTCATTATCACATACTTGCGAAAAGGATGCTAACAAAGGTGCATCTGCTTTACTTTCTTGTCTTTTATGCATTTGTTACACTGCAATGAACTGTCTATCATTGATGCACTGCAGCTGCTAAGTCAACCTAAATACCTTACTGATATGTGCAATCAGGCCATTTAGCCGTTGCATGGTCTATAGTAGGAACTTATCTTGAAATTGCTTAAAGATGCAATGAGAAGCTTTGCTATTTGTTTAGCATTTAAATCCGAGATAACTGATATTTGCAAAGATATTCATTATCATGGGAGGAATAGCAAATCAACTTAACCCTGATTTCTTTCTTCTTCTTTAGTTGACTAATTTAGACTGTCTTGCATTATAGCAGTATTAATTGAAAGGATTGTTTTCTGATGGTTCATGAAAAATTAAATGTATTTTAGTGACTGGCGTACCCTGAAGCATTTTTATGTTGCTGTTTTGCTAAACAATGAGTGATGAACTGGTCGAGGCATCTTTTTGCCTCCATTATGCAACGGTAATGTAAATTTGGCACACAGAAACCAATGGACCTTCTGCAAATTATCCAAACCTCTCTTCACTCCTCCATTTCTAGTATCTTTTAATGTTGATATTCCCATTTGTGAAGTTGACTGCATGTTTGATGGGTACTTAAAATGTGCTCTTAAATATTAAAATATCATCTTGAATTCTTGAATATGATACTGATTTGCTTCTTATCACAGGAGTATGTCGTTGAGGACATCGCTGGAGAAATAACAGGGTCTGATTGGTCTCCTCCATCTCTCCCACCTGAGCATGTTCAGCAGCTGAAAACATTGCGCCTCCTAGAGTGTGAAGGAGTCAATCTACCTGCTGAGGAGAATGACCGTAGAGGTAACACTGGCACCGTGTTTGGTAGTCTGGTCCTTGTCAGGGAGATATGCAATTAGGTGATAAAATTTCTGAGCCACTCAACTCCTTTAGTTGAGATTTGTATAGTTGTGGTGATAGTTAAAATCCCGATTTAAATCTACGATTTTTTTTCAATCAAAACGATTTTATCAAAATTCCAAACGTTTTGACGATTTTACGATTTTTTCTATGTTAGGATTTTACTATTTACGATTTTTTGTCCTCCTTCCAATTTTAGGTAAAATCTCGATTTTAACTACCATGGTCTAACCGAAGGTTAGATAAATGATATCGGATCTAGTGCTTTCTCTCTAGATATCTATGAATTAGGTATCTTGGGGGAAGTGAATCACTACACACTGAGCAACGGCCGTAGCCAAAGGGGATGTGTGTGTACGCTGTGTGATTGCATAAAAATAGGGTTGAAAAAGATCAGTCATACATGTGGTCTTCATCCTATTTATAGTGCTTACCTTTGGGCTTGTATCATTTGGGTCTTCTATGGATATGGGCCTTACTCAGGTCTATAACAAATTATATTCTCCATATCTAAAATGAATTAAACAATAAATTAGCTCAAAAAACATGGAGCATAAATAAATAAAAATGCATGCTATTACTATGTCACTTTAAATTGCAACTCAGAATTTTCATAAACATATCTCCCAATGACATTGAACATATATTTTTCAAATTCAACTACATTAAAATGACATATTTTACGTTCTCTTAATTTATTATTCCGCAAATTGCTTCAGTATTGAAAACTGAAATTTGAGGTCATTGTAGAAGAGTATACTAGCAAATAAAATTACAAAAGTATTTAAAATGAGTTCTATATTTTTTTCTGACAAGATGAAACAATTTTGATTTTTTGGTTTTTTTTTTTTAATGCATGACCAGATCGGGTCACTGGGTTTGGTCGGTTTTGTCCGAGTTTTGACCAGGTTTGACCGGATCGATGCATGATCGGTTCCATACTTGACTCGAACCGATCCAATGACCGGTTCATCGGATTCCGGGTCGACCCGGCAGGTCGGCCTGGGTTTTACAACGGTGCAATGTAGGGACTAAATTTTTGTACTTTCCTCTACCATAAATGATTTTTCGCTTTTATGCTCCTGTTCCTATGTGGGGATGCATTACTTTATACGGGCAAAATGGTTAAGCTTAAGCATGGCTCAGTTTAGGGACTCTCTTTCTTTATAAATACCTTTCTTCTTTGAAAGGTCATCTTCTACATAATACTTTCTATTATAATTACTCTGCTGAATTTCAGTCTCACTCAGAGCTACTATGCCCTTCACCATCCACTAATTCATAGGGATTTGCCCGAGACTTACACTATAACTCCATTGTTGAGCTCTAATTCATATTATTGCCTCATTATATCATTATTACATTGACATACTACAACCCTAAAAGGAAACAAATCTCACCTCCAAACATAAACAAATCTCAGTTGCATGTTTTATTGACTGAATATATTGGTATAATTATAAAGACTATATCGCTCAAGTTAGTATTAAATAGGGTGAGGTATACAATTAGGATTAGGTGCAAAAGGTGAAAACTCTCCATTTACATATGAATCATTTGTCACCAAGAATCATGGAAATGATGGAGAGCATCAAGGAAATCAACGGTGATCGTTGAAATAACCAAAAGTGGTTATTCATCGCAGACCATGGAATGCTTGGACTATAGATATTGGCATATGTTTTGGGTCCATAATATTAGTTTATAACAATTGCTCCTTAGCTCGGTACTTTGTAATGTCAGAGTGCTAAGTTATAATATCGGGTCTGAATAGCCTAATCATTATCGATAACGAAATGAGTGCCATCTGAGGTGTATCTTTAATAAGCATAGACTACGCTTGGTAAATCGTTTGTTGCCAAAATTCTTGGTGTTGCTCAAATGTCTTCAATGGCAATAGTACCATCGTATGAGAAGGATCTAGATGCGGAAGTGCGACGAAGGCATTGCACATTTTTTTTTAACATATTAGCAATCAATAAAATTGAATCATCACAGCCAACTAGGGACTTGGTTGAATCGATTGGATAAGGTTTCAAGGCATAGCACTTATGCTTCTACGTAGTTACCATGTTACCATTAATAGGATTGAATGATCACAACTTTGTCGCAGGTCTTGAACAAATCACATGGGAAAAGAAAATGAATAGCATCTTAAAAAGAGTTTCCATTTCCCTCCCTTTTTTAAAAAAAGTATATCATTTTAATATTTTTAAAAACTAAACCCAAACAACATTTTCAATCATATTTGATTTGTTAATTTTTTTTAAGAACATTTTTTTTTTAGAAATAGTTTAGAAACAATCGAGATATTTCAAAGACGAAGTCGTAAAATCATTTCGAGTGTTCTTTGTATTTGGAGGAAAATAATACATGAAAGAATATTAATATGTATCGAATACACAGAAGTAGCGGAAAGGGAGTTAATCAACCGAAGATTTGAAGTGCACTTGAGGGCGGATTTGTGATCAAAATGTCACGTTCGACCAAAAATTTTATCCAAATACCACGCGAATAGTATTTTTTACCAGACTGTCACGTGTTATAATTTGCTATCACTGGTAGCGAATTTCGTGGTCAATAATTTCATGACACGTGGCCATATTGCAGACCAAATTCGTTACCAGTGATAGCGAATTATGACACGTTAGTTTTTTCTTGCGAAAGTGTACAACGTGTCATAAAATCATTGGCGAACATAATATGTTACCAGTCATAACGAATTATGCTTATGTGGCAGTCTGATTAAAAGTATTGTTCGCGTAGTATTTGGATAATTTTTTTGCTGTTCGGTGACATTTTGGTCACTGTTTCCTTGAAGGTTCTATTTTTCTCGCATAGTCTAAAACATATATAAAGATTTGGCCATTTTTAATGTCGTATATAATATTCTACGCTCAGTGGCCTACGATTACAATTTTTACTTTTTTGTTTAGGTACATATTACAATTTATTATTAGTAATTTTAATTTTAGGAACGTCATAAGTGGAGAGATCGTTGTTTGTGAAAAAAAAGTTTACTCGTATGGATTCATGTTCAATAGTGTAGTCTCATGTTCAAAGGCATGCATGTACACAAGAAAAAAATGTTGTATAGTACTTGATCCGGATAAAATATAGGCTCATTAGAGGCCCAGTGATATACGGAGAAGCCCAAACCCATTAAGGTTCTAGAGCAAGCGCGATGGACCGACACAACGCATAAGACGCGATACACTCATCGCGCTGGACAAGACGCGAGGCACATATCGCGGATAAAACCCTCTTAAAGAAGCTAACTTAAGGTTCAAGGCAATCCCACTGCGCCTTTATTTCAATAAAAGATAGACAGCTCCAGCTTGCCGCGACTCTACAATTGGAGATAAAGCTACTCAGGTTCTAGCCTGACCTGCAGCCCAAACCAGGTCAATCAGAGGCCATACTGTTGTACTAAGGCGGCATCATAACCGCTATATAAACAAATGATACAACACTAAGGTACGATCATCCTTTACAATAATAAAATAAAAACTCCTGCATCTGATACTGACTTAAGTATCAGAGCGTCTTCGCAGGTACCCCCATTTGGATCCAACGCGCAACTACAAAGGACAGGAACAATCCAACTTCAACTTCAGGCCCAAGACCGATAACGATAAAGGCAACTCAACCGTGTGTGATTGGGCTCAATATATACTGGCCAGTCCATAGTGTATTTGGTCTGATGAGTACTACTAGTATGAATAATATTTTAAGATAACTTTGTAATAAATTCTTAAAGTATAAAGCTATTATTAAAAGAAATTTTATTTTACTACCAAATACATGTATTAATTGGTAAGATATTATTTTTACTTAATCAATGATCTTGAATTCAAGTTCTTAAAAATGTTAAAGTATAAAGTTTGAAGAATACTGAACAATTTTCAAAACCAGAGTACTTGAGTTATTAATCAACTTATTGGAAAATAAATTAAATAAAAAAAAGAAATAAGGATTTTTTAAAATGTAGTTTAAAATAACATTTGAAGTTTGAAAAATGTGTGTACATAAAATGAAGAATGCATAGGAATAACGGACCTTGATATTTACTTGACCGTTCAAAAAAAGGGATTATTTTAGTATTTTCTTTTTTAAACTTTTTTTTTTTTTTTGTTTGTAATTTCTATTATTCAATCTATACTTTCAAAAAAGGTATATGGTATTTTTTTTAGAGAGAATCAAGTGAGCTCACTTAAAAAAAAACTTGCATAAATCATGTAAAGTATTTACATAATTTTTTAAAAAGTTATAATATGTTGCCAAAAATTATATGTATTTACTCTTTTTAATAATAGTAAAGCCCTTTTTGAGTTTCTAACAAAAAATACGGTCCTTACTTTAGCCTCTTATAAAAAAAAAGTAGTCTCGAGATTTATAAAAAATTCAAAGTGGACCCATTTAGTTGAAATCGCGGTCCCTCGTATATTCAAAAAAGTCCCATATTAGTCTCTCGAAAGAATTAAAATGAGTCCACTCTGAATTTCATAGAGACCATACCACTAATTTTTTTTATAAAGGACTAAACTGGGATTGTGTTTTTTGTTAAGGACCCGAAAAAGATTTTATTCTTTTTAATAAATAAATAATATTGTGAGTAGGAGTGAGGTGGTGATAGAATTGTATCATTAGTTTAGTTTATGGGCTTTGGTTTTCTCATGTTGAGAATTCAATTCTCATGCTGTGACTCAACTAGTTGTGGGTCTCACACTTATTAATAAAAGAAAAAGAAAAAGGAAGCTTTATACGCAAATCGAAGAGACACACCATGAGAAAACAATTATCATGCAACATGAAAAGTATTTTTTCCCTTAGTTTATATATATATACATGGGCTTATGTTTTCTTATATTACATAAGAGAACAATTTTTCCTACATATACATGAACAGTTCTAAATCAGCTTCTTACTTTCTCTTTTTAATTACAAGTGAATCCCACGTTGAAAATTGTATCTATGGCTAGAGATATGTTTTCTTATGTGACATAAGAAAACATAAACACTATATATATATATATATATATATATATAGGGGAGGGTTCTTTTGACTCCAGAGTAAGACTTTTAAGTCTTACTCCAAATCCCAGCCGTTGATGGACGGAAATCAACGGTTGTCATTAATAGCATAATTAATAATTAATTAATTAAAATAACTTCCTAAATTATAACCGTTGGATGGACGAAAATCAACGGTTAGGATGGAGAGTAAGACTTATAAGTCTTACTCTTGAGTCAAATGATCTCTCTCTCTATATATATATATATATATATATAGGATCCGTTTACAATTTTTTTTTGCAATTACACTAATGTATGACCGGTCGTACACTGTGTGATTAATGTAAGACTAGTCCTACATAGTGTAATTTGTAAGAATTTGTAAACAAAAAAGTTTGTAAATATAACTTGTCTAATATATATATATATATATATATATATATATAAATTGTATCGTTAGTGGACATGATTCACTCAAGGAATCTCAATTTCCGTCAATGGTACGTGTAATTATTTGCTCAAAAGATATACCAAGAGAAAACACAGAATTTTTTGAAAATCTAATTCAAAATGAAGAGGATAGTCAGAAACGCTAAACCTATTTACAAATTGGATTGACTTACTCCACCAGATAATTTTATATTCTATACATATATAAAAGGTTTTAATGTTTCTAAATTGAATGTAGATAAGTTATTTATATTTGCTTCCAAAATAACGTCATTTTGGGTTAAAAAATTAAAATATAAAATAAAAAGACTATTATATCCCTGAAATAAATTATAATTACAAAAATACCTTAATTTTCGCCTCAAAACGACATCGTTTTGAGCTCACTGTAGATAAATTATCTACATTGATTGTAAAAAACGCGAACCCTATATAAAAATGTGTAAAATTTATATAGATTTATGTAAAAAAGGAAAAAGCAAATAAAAATATCGGATAAGATATTATTATTACCAAACAATGTTATTACGATATTTTAATTATTGATTTCTATCAATTAATGATTATTATTTATTGTGAATTAAAATTAATTAACGAGTTTGATTTGTGGAAATAGTAATCGTTGATTGGTGAAAATCAGTGATATTGTAGTGATATTAATAGTAACATTACTTGGTAATAATAATATTCTATCATTATCATATCTTAACCGTTAATTTCATTAATCAACAATTACCACATATATATAGAGGAGATAAAATGATCACGTAAAATATGATTTACCATTAATCCCTTACAAATATTCACAAGTACCCTTACTAATTACCTGGAAAACATTTAAAATTTGCGTGTCGGACACGTGTCCTACATGAACACGCTCGGATACGCTTGGACACGCGGTCAATATTTGAAGACACGTGGTCAATTCTCCGACACGTTTTTCTGGCATGCAGTCAACTTTTTTCGACACGCGGTTAACGCTCGGACACATTTTTTTTTTAATCTTAATTTTATTTTGTTAACTAAATATAAAAAAAATAATTTATAAATTAATTTTTTTCTATTATGAAATTTGACATGAAAAATTAACAAAGTACGAAAAATTATTTATATTTATATTTATGTTATAAAATTTAAATATTTGATCGATTATATGACTTATTATGGACTCTTATATGTATTAAATATAAATTATATTATATATATTAAAATTTTTATTTAATATCAAAACGTATCCCAACGTGTCAAAATATGACATTTCTTAAAATTAACACGTCGGCATATCGTGTCGTATCCCGTGTCCGTGCATAATAGCTAATTACTATTCCCGCGACCCGCCGCGCGCCGTTGCTATTTCTACCATTTACTTTGTTTCAGTTGACGTGCTATGGTTAATTTTGGAAATTCCATAGTCTCACCGTTTTATCCTAATTTCTCAGTCTGATGATTAAATTCTGAGGCAAGAGATAGGAAGAAAGAGGGAGTGGAAGTAACTCCTCTCTCAAAAAAGAGAATTGAGATTTGAGCATAACAACACAAATTTTGGTTATTTTTTCAACCTCTCATTTGTTTGATTCTCTTCTAACTTTGTATCTGTTTAATTAATGACGGATCACTTAGGGTCTTCTCCTCTAATCCCTCCTTCACCCATCACCGAGATCGACCTCGAAGCCGGTTCCACCGAACTAATTCAGTGCCGTATATGTCTTGAAACTGAAGGTAATTTTGCTTTCATCTTTTTTCTTTTTAATTACTTTTAATTCGTTTTCAGGTTAGGGCTTTCATCATCTGTTTTCAGTTAGGGCTACATCATTAGTGATTTTTAACTTGTACGCTTTCAATTTATTTCATTTTGTTTGACTATCTTTGAAGAACTTAAGTCATTTTATTTGAATTCGAGCTTAAAGCATTTCAATTGAGCTATTATGTACACCTGTTCTTAGTTCATAGTTCCCGCTTTAAATTCTTGGTTTTGTTTGTTGCAGTTATGTATTGACTGGCTGTAAATGTATGGGTTCTTCATTATTGAGCTTAAAATTTAAATGTAACATGATATATTCTATCAATTACCATCTACCTGTTTTATTTATTTATTTACTTTTTATTCCCCTCAGGTAGAGATTTCATAGCTCCTTGCAAGTGCAAAGGTACATCAAAATATGTACATCGAGAGTGTTTGGATCATTGGCGAGCAGTTAGGGTAAGGATGCTGTCTCCGTTTGAAGTTTTTGAATTTCAACATTGTGTTATACTATAGGCCATATCAAGAAATATTCCATGACCAGCGAGCATTGTGTAATAACTATGTGATGGATATGATTGCTAATTAAGGGTGGCAACTTGTAACTTTATTTGTAACACTGACTGAAGGCTGTTTTGGTGGTCCTTATACTTTTTTTGTTCTGCTGATCAATTAAGCAATGTGCATGTTCCATTATCTTTGATCCTGTAAAGTAAAGGGTAGGAGTCTAAAGATTCTAAACACAGACTTACAGAGGAATGGTGTTGATGCTTCCCCTTATATTATTTCCCTGTCCTCTGTCTGTTTCTTCCCACTTTCAATGATAATTTTTTTTACTTGTTCACTTGATTTATTTTAGGTGGTTTATGTTCATAAATTTGGTTTAATCCTTGTGGCTTGTAATGCATATTTCCTCTCCTGCTGCGTACATATATTTGATATTTTGCTTGTTAGCTGTCTTGAGTGTGCTTGTCCTTGTTATTCTATATGTATGTATTCATTTTAATTTAACGGGTATACTGGAACTTCTTTCATGATATTTACTGTGTCCAATACTTATTTTTAAATGACTTTTTCCTTTACCTAATGATAAATAGAAGCATAGAGTTGTATACTATACGAGCTAATTTCCCCTAGGAAAAAGATCCTCTAAAATTCAGGGTGCCCCTTATTAGAGAATAAAGTGTGAGTGGATAATTGTTGACAGAAAATCACCCATATGTACAAGCATATCGATAACAATCTATGGATGTATAGTATACAAGCACTTGCTTCCTGAATTTTATTGCTAATATTTCTACATGCTGAAAAGTACTCTTTACAGTGGTTGACCTAATAAATTAATCTAAATTACTGAATATTCTGCAGGAAGGGTTTGCATTTGCTCACTGCACTACCTGCAAGGCTCCATATCATTTGCGTGTTCATGGTGCTGTTGATAGGAAATGGCGTACCTTGAAATTTCGGTTTTTTGTCACCCGAGACATTTTGTTTATATTCCTGGCTGTACAGCTTGTAGGTTAATTGTTTCCATTCTCCTAGCCATGTAAAAGCTTATCCATTTGTAATTTGTTAATTGCATATAGATGTTCTGATTCTACTTGGCAACACCTTGTTTCGTTTGTCTGCAGGTCATTGCTTCACTGGCTTATTTGGTTTATCTAGTAGATGGTTACCAACAGTATTGGCTTCGTCTTGTTTGGAGTTTTGATAGTGAGCTGAGCTTTTACTACATATGTGGTAAACTACTATGAACTCGTGCAGTAATCAACAAAATGCTTATACCAAGTATTACTATTCTTTTTTTTTTTGGGGGGGGGGGGGGGGGGGGTGGGAGGGAGGGTTGTTAAATTCTGGTATTGTTTTATATCTTTAGGTCACAGTTTGCTTTATCTATACATAAGATGATTCTGGTTTTGCTGTTGATTTCATTTTGGTATTGTCAAATGTAGGAGCGCTGTTGTTTTTTGTGTTGCTTGGCCTGTCTGGGTGCTTCATTACTTTTTATGATCGAAGAGTTCGCAATGATTTGGCTCAGCCTTGTCGTGAAATATGTCTCTGTTGCTGTCAACCTGGGTAGTAAATCTGCTTTTATATATTCATGAGCCTTTGACATTGTTAAAACACATAATTATTCTCTTAGCATCTGCATGAAGCATCATATGTTTTATTTTGATTTTGTTAATACATTTTATGGTTCCGGAAACAATGCTTGGAGAGTAATATATGACATTTAATTTGCCCTATATTGGAGACCCTTCCTTGCACTTAAGAAGGAATACTTATGAAATTCATATTTTCAAAATACTTATTAATGCAGTTCTTAAGTTATACATCCTTGGACTTACTAAATATAGAAAGTATGGTGTTGCGTTATATTTGAAGTATTTTACTGCAGCAGCTGGTTGATGTTGGTTTTGTTTTGTTTGCTGTCACTGCAGAGTTTGTGCGGACTGTCATTTGCCAGGTACTCTTTGTATGTGGACTGATTGCACCGCATGCTTTGAGAGCTGTGGAACCATGGCAACTGAATGTGGTGGTTGCATGGGAGGTGCTGGGGAAGCAGGGCTACCATTGTTATTCATACTGGCTTTGATTTTTCTGGGACTCTTTACTGTAATTGGCATATTTTACAGTGTATTAGTGGCTACCATGGTTGGACAGCGGATATGGCAGCGTCATTATCACATACTTGCAAAAAGGATGCTAACCAAGGTGCATCTGCTTTACTTTCTTGTGTTTTATGTATTTGGTACACTGCAATGAACAGTCTATTGTTGATGACAGCTGCTAAGTCAACCTAAATACCATACTGATCTGTGCAATTAGGCCATTTAGCCATTGAATGGTTTATCGTAGGAACTTATCTAGAAATTGATACGAGATGCAATGAGAGGCTTTTCTAAAATCCAAGAAAACATATATTTGCAAATATTTTTATTATTATGGGAGGAATAGCCAATAATCTCAACCTGATTCTTTCTTCTTTTTTAGTTGACTAATTTAGACTGTCTAGCATAATCAAAGGATTATTTTCTGATGGTTCATGACAAATTAAATGTATTTTGGTGACTGGCGAACCTGAAGCATTTTTATGTTGCTTTTTTGCTAAACTTCATAATCTTAAGATTTAATAAGTGATCAACTGGTCGGGGCATCTTTTTGCCTCCATTATGCAATGGTAATGTAAATTTGGCACAGAAACCAATGGCATTGAGAAAACTATTCAAACCCCTTGTCACTCCTCCATTTATAGGGGCTTTTAATGTTGATAGTCACATGTGTGAAGTTGACTGCATGTTTGATGGGCTCTTAAAATGTGCTCTTAAATATTAAAATAGTATATTGAATTCCTGATTATGAAACTGTTTTGCTTCTTATCGTAGGAGTATGTCGTTGAGGACATCGATGGAGAGTTAACAGGGTCTGATTGGTCTCCTCCATCTCTCCCACCCGAGCATGTTCAGCAGCTGAAAACATTGGGCCTCCTATGAGTTTGAAGGAGTCAATCTACCTGCTGAGGAGAATGACAGTAGAGGTAACACTGGCACCGTGTTTGGTAGTTTGGTCCTTGTCAGGACTCAGGGAGATATGCTATTAGTTGATAATTTCTGAGCCACTCAACTCAATTAGTTTAGATATAATTGTGCTGCTATATGGAAAATTGTTCTGTCTACAAATGTAAAGAAATGGAAGAGAAATCTTTGAATATATCTAATTACAGGTATATTGTCCCCAACCTTGATATATTTAATATTTCTGCTCCGCTAGTCTTATTTTCTTAGCTGCGTGTCTCTTCAGTACGTTTTGAAACTCCACTCACTAATCATGGGACCTGCCATTGCTTCTCTAGCTATTGCTCGATGGTGTTGGTCAAATGTCTTCAATGGGAGTGCGATGAAGGCATTGAACATTTTTCGTTTAACATATTTTCTATCAATAAAATTGAATAATCACAACTAGCTAGGGATATGGTTGACTCAATTGATTGGATGAGGTTTAAGGCATAGCACTTACGCTTCCATTAGTTACCATATTTCCATTTTTTCCCTTTTTTAAAGTATATCATTTTAATGTTTTTTAAAACTAAACCCAAACAACATTTTCATACGTATTTGGTTTGTTATTCATTTTTTAAGAACAAACATTTTTAGAAATACTTTAGAAACAGTGAGAGGTTTCAAAGACGAAGTTGTAAAATTATTTCAAATATCAAGATTTGGCCATTTTTACTGTAATATTGTACGCTCAGCGGCCTACTATCGCAATTTTTTGTTTTTTGTAGGTATAGATTATAATTTATAGGAATGATCCGATTATAATTTTTTGCAAATTATGTTATGTACTTCTGGAAGTACATAGTGTAATTGAGTGTACTTCTAGGAGTACATAGTGTAGTTTGTAAACGAAAGGTTTATAAATATAACTTTTCCTTATAATTTATTATTAGTAATGTTAGTTTTAGAAACTTCATATGTGGAGAGGTCATTGTAAGGGAAAAAAATTGTACAGTAAATGAAAAATATTTTAAGATAAATTTATAATATATTCTTAAAGAGTAAAGGTAATATTAAGAGAAATTTTATTTTTGATAATAATTGGATAGAGAAAGGGATGTAATATTAGAATAGAGAATTGGAAGTAGCTTATGTCAAGGGAATAAGAAACTTGAAGTATGGAGGAACACGGACCAAAATGTTACTCTTCACCAATTTTTTTACCTAAATGCCACACGAATAGAGCTGTCAAAAAGGGCTCAAGTCCTAGGGCCAACCCATCAAGCCCTAGGGCCAGCCCTATAAAATTTTAGCCCTCTATATAATGGGGCCATTTTAAGCCCATCTTTTTAAAGCCCTCTCATTATAGAGTTAGGTTGGGGCTGCCCACGGGCTACAATATTCAACCCAATTTACAACGAAAAAAATTTCATAAAAATTTTTGACGAAAAAAAGAATTCCTTCAAAAATTTTGACGGAATATTTTCCTTACAAAATCTTCGATGAAAATGAGACCCAATGAAAATTACAACGAAAATATTTTTTTCAAAATTTTTGAGGGAAATGTATATGTGAAACTTTCGACGGAATTTAGATTTCGTAAAGATTTTTGACAAAATATTTTTTTCGTTGAAATTTCTTACAGAAATATTTTCGTCAAAGTTTTTTACAGAAATAATTTTCGTGGAAAATTTTTAACGAAAATGTGTGTTCCGTTTAAAATTTTGATAGAAATATTTTTTATCGAAAATTTTGTCAGAAATATTTTTCGTCAAAATTTTTTGACGGAAATGTGTTGCGTCAAAAAAATTTTCATCAAAAATTTTGACAGAAATTTTTTCGTCAAAAAATTCAGCAAAAACTTTTTTCGTCAAGAATTTTGACGGAAATTTTTTCGTCAAGAATTTCGACGGAATTTTTTTCGTCAAAAATTTTGACGGAAATTTTTTCTTCAAAAATTTCAACGGAAATTTTTTCGTCAAAAACTTTTACGGAATTTAGATTCTGTAAAGAATTTTGACGAATTTTTTTTTTCGTCAATTTTTTTACAGAAACGTTTTCTGTCAAAACTTTTTACGAAAAAATTCCTATGCAATAATTTTTTAAAAAAGTGACAATTTTCTAAAAACTATTTATTTTTATTTTTTCTAATAATTTCTACGCATTATTTTATTATAAATATTTTTTTAAAAAAAATACATATTATTTTTTTAGAAGGCCCACGGGCTGGCCCTAACCCATAGGACTTTGGCCCGTGTGGATCTATATCATTGTGGGCTTTTTGGCCCTAACCCACTTGGGCTAGGGCTAAATGGGCCGGGCTGGTCCGTTTTAACAGCTCTACACACGAACATTGTTATTTTTCAATATGCCGTGGGAGCGAGTTCGCTATCCTGTGTAGCGAACTCGGTTTGCTGACGTGTCACATTTTTAATGGATAACAAGTATCAAATTTTAAAAAAAAAATAAAAAAAAAAATGAAAGTCGCCTACCATGTAGGCGAACTTGGTTAAAATCAAGTTGGTGTCCACTAAAAACGTGACACGTCAGCAAACCGAATTCGTTACACCGGATAGCGAACTTGCCCCGTGACAGATTGAGAAATAACACTGTTCACGTGGTATTTAGATAAAAAAATTGATGAACAGTGACATTTTGGTCACTGTTACAAGTACGGAAGGGAAAGGACAAAGGACAACTAGACGGTGCTTTGACGTCAGAAATTAGAAATTGGGTTGGAAAGAGACTTGGGCATGTGCATGTTGGGGCAGTATTGGAACGGTGAGCAAGCAATGACTGTGAGTGTGTAAAGAACATTACATAGCCCCTTGCCCTCTTTTGAGCTTTTCATAATGTTCCCCATTCAATGGGCGCCCCCACTAAGCTGAATAATATATGCGTACATAACATAAAATTATTTTCCTACTCACACAAATTTTATATGGGACCTACTTTAAATTTTTTCTCTTTTTTCTATTCACTCTCCTCTCTCTTCCTTTTGTGAGAGTAGGAAGTTTGTTTTTATGTTATGTTACATAACAAAAACATTTCCCATATATATATATATATATATATATATATATATATATATAGGGATAAGATCAATTTACACCGGTGTAAGGATAATAAATCTTACACCAAATCTTAACTGTTGATTTCCGTGCAATCAATAATTAAGATTTGGTGTAAAAATTATTATTATTACACAGTGTAAAATGATCTTGCCCCTTATATATATATATATATATATATATATATATATTCAGAAAACAAGGTGCCCCCACTCACAAAACAAACAAACAAAATCCACCGGCAGCAACAATTTCACAATTCCGCTTCACCCTCAATCTTATCCAAAACTGTTGACAATCAATTTGGAAATGTCCCTTCCTATAAATTTGCTTTTGCTTTTGTCAAGGATAAGGTAAGAAGCAAGAGCAAAACTTCAAGCACAACAAATTACACACAATTTTATCTCATTTCGCAATATCCCCTTATTTCATATCAAAGTAAGAGAGATCCGAGGATGTCTGACATTGCTATGTTGGTGGCGGAAGAGTACGAGAGGAGGGTCAAGAGTTTAAGAAAGACTGGTGGTGGTGGTGGTGGTGAAGTAACTTGGGAAATTGACATGGTTTCTTGTGCTTCTTTTTTGGCTTCGAGGCTGAAGGAGCAGAAGAACAAGCTTGTCCAATGGGTTTTGGAACCCAAAACCCAAATTGCTATTGCTGCTTCTAACAGCTTCTTCTCTGCTTAAACAAGTTATTAATTTTTCTGTTCATATGGTTCGTGATTGCAAAAGATCGTGCTTGATTGTTATTTATTCAGTCTTCTAATTTTCCTGAAATCATGTACATAGCTATGTTTCGAAGTCGATATTAAAAGGAAATTATTGTGTTTAGAGAGAGTTTCTCCGACAATTTTTTCTTCTAATTTTTTTTTTTCTCCCTATTTCTTTAGAAGTAAGAACATGTGAAAATTAAAACCTACATTTCATCTCTGTGATTGCACCTTAAAAAAAATGCCACATGGGTACAACAAAAGGTTCATTCGGGTTAAACAGAAATTGAGTGGGGCTGAATTTAGTTCTGATCAATAATATATTGGCCCAACCCAGTATCATGCGAGCTACATTTTTTTTTTCTTTCAAAATTCGAAATTATGAACACAAAAAACATAAAAATAATCACCATGGAAGAGTTTTTTTGCCAAATGTTAGAACATAACTTGCAAGAAAGAAATCAAAAGATTGAATCATACGACAATTATAACTTATTAGTAATTACTGTTTAATGTTGTTTAGAACTTTATAATTACCACACACTACTACTAAGGACTATAGGCCCATTATCTTGCGAGGGAACAGAACGAGCAGGCCTATGGGCGTATTATCTTTCTTGTGTGTGTCTTTCATTTGGGCATAATAAAACGATGCAACGACAGAATCAGGACGATTTCTCGTGTATGTAGGCCCATTACCTTAATCAATTAATTAATAACTTAGTTAACGTTTGTTTTAAGCAATATGATTATATATTTTTTTAGCTATACCATTTTTTTAAATACTGTGTGATTAGGAATTTTCTTTTCATTAAGTTCATAAACATGTTTGGTTAGCATCTATTTTTAGAATATTTTTCTAAATTTAAATAATGAGAGAAAGAAGTGGGAATGAGAGTAAATGTTAATAGTTATTTCCAAAAAAAAAATGTTAATAGTTATATAATAAGGTAACTTCTATTATGAGAAAACGCATATTCACCCCATATCATGGGGTTTTTTATATACACCCGGTACATAATCTTTTGAGTGCACCTTTTTCAAAAAAAGAAAAAAAAAATTCATTTAAATCTCTCTTCTTTTCAAATTTTCTCTCACTTTTTTTCTTCTCATTTTTAGTTAAGGACTATCAAGTCTCGGCCCACAATAAATGAGCTCCATGGAAATAAAAAACAAGCAAAACATGGAAATGTCACTTTCTTAGGAATCAATAATGTCCAAGAACATATTTTTTTGTTTTGTTTTTAAGTTTACACCAAACATATATGAATGTCGTATTCTCGAATTTACTTTTGTTAAAAAAACTTCACAATTCTTAAAACAGACACACCCTTAACCTCTTAATCTTCACCCCCTAAATTCCATGTTAGTAGTAGAGCTGTACAAGGAATTCAAATGTGATTGTGGTGGATTCTGAATTTCTAAAGAAATGGGTTGAGGAAAAGCGAAGGAATGTTCGTCAAAGAAAATAAAATAAAATGAGTAGATTTTAATAAATTTATAATTCATTATGTATATAAATGTACCTTATTACAATATGAATTATTAATTTTCTTATCACTAAATGAGATTTTTCATTATCTTAGAGTAATATATATATATATATATATATATATATATATATATATATATATATATCATTTTGAGATGAGATAAGAATTTATATTTTCTTATTGCTTTATAATACATTTTTTTAGTAAAGGAACCCCGAACCCATAATGAAAACAATTATAAAAATATATATACAATTTATGCAGATTGATTATTACAAAATACATAATTAAATTTGGTACGTTATCCGAAATATTCTTTTAATTTATGAGAACTCTAAATTAAAAAAAAGCGTTGTGGTGAAGATTTATTTTATTTGTTTCTTTTTTTATTTTTATTTTTTTTATTTTTTTTTAAATATCTATGATATTATATTTGCCTAGTCATAAATGAGAACTCCACAGAGGGGAAACATTACTAACCCCCGCTCCACCTTTTTCCCAATCGTGAACAGTGAACACCGCACCATTAAATTTCCTATAACCACATCACTCTTTTATAGTTTCATTCCAAAATTACTCTTCTTTGTCTCAACACTTGCCATATAAGTAACTTTCGGGAATTTCACATTCTCATTCATTCCCTGTCATTTCGCTTTTTAGCATAACCAATTATACTGATACTACTACTACTACGTTACTCTTTTTCTCCCAGTTGCACGAATGAGTGAGCAATATGCACAATTGATAGTTATATTCAACAGTTAAATTAATTAAGTTTTAATTGAAACACATTACAATTTATTAATTTATTTTGGGTATTTACAATTTGATTCTTTTTAAACTTAACCTCCCTTGCAAACCTTTGCAGAGCACGGTCTTGCTCTCCCTTTTTATGGTTTGCACGAGGTTTCAGCTCAAAGTACACCCTCTGATCGTGATGATTGACAAGAAAATACCTTGTTTGCAATATGAGCAAACATTTGTTACATGGCGGACCAAAATTATTTATGATTAGAGTTGAAAATAAAATATCAAAGTTTAATTTTTTATTAAAATCAATATGAGAAACTAACTATTTCAAGTGTTTTTTTGGGGAGGGATTAACTATTAGCACCAATAATATATTATTATTACAAAAATATTATTTTAAATATATAGTAAAAAAAATAAAGATATAGAGAGGTCAATCACCGAGCTCATTTTTTATGGTCTCAGATTTGATGGTCCTTATTCTAAAATAAGAGAAAAAAAAGATTGAGAGAAAATTTAAAAAAAAAAAAGAATGATTTAAATGGAAGGAAATTTTTCCTTTTTTGGAAAAGGAGCACCCAAGCATATTAAAAAAATCCGTCGATCACCCCTCCCTTCTTCCCCTGATTTGGTAGGCATATATTTTTGTGGGTGGCCTTTGTTTATTTGTTTGTTTTTGTTTTATGTTTTTTTTTTTTTTTTTTTTTTTTGTAGAAGCCCGATTGTGCGTATTTCTCTAGAAAAGTCACATAAATAAAATTCGTATGTTTTTTTAGGGAGGTGGGTTAATATTGTTTTGTTACTAAAAACAATAAATCTATGTATAAGGGTTGTGACATGTTATCGACAAATTTTTTTTTTTTTTTACCATAGTAAATTAATATTTTTATTTACTTTCGAAAAAATAAATAGTTTTAATGTTTTTTATTTTTTAAATATAACATCTTCGAATTTTGTCGAATTCTTCCTAATTTTTTTCCCCCTACATAGCATTATTAATTTACGCTTATCTAATTAAATTCATTGAACCTAACGATTAACTAAATGACTAATTAATAAAGGGATTGGCAAGCAATTTATTTTTGGAAGGGAGGGGCTCACAATTTCATGGCTAACTGTTTGAGTAATACTGCTTGAATTAAGCAAACAGAAAAAGGTAACGACCAATTTGCATTGAATGATTATTTGATGACACTTCATTTGCCGCAGAATTTGGACGAATGAAAACATTGAGCTGGCTTGTTCAACGAAGAAAGGAAAGAATTTGCGTCGCTATCCGTGGTAACTGGTAAGAATTGTGGATAAAAGGCAAATATCATTATTAACCGAGTAAGTTTAATAAATTTTGCATTTATTATTCATAATCGATTTCAACTCATGATTCAGTGATTAATAAATTAGAGCCATTGAATACAAATAATATATATTGATTGGTGGTCCAATCTATTTGAACCTGAGTGCCCCATTTACAGCTACGACTTTCAATAAAGAATTTTGCATGCCATTTGTCCTAGTCTCCTAGACAATGAATTTGATCATCTACCTCTCCCTTTCTCTTCATTGAATAATTTGATAGCCAATTCGCAGCTGTTATATTGCAACTATCTTATTTTGTGTCCCAAAAGTGGAAAACTTTTGCTTTCCTTAGTGTGCTAAACCCTAAACTCGTACATTACACATTTTATGTTACAACTGAACAATCTGGTAATTAAATGTGAATATTTCTGAGTGAATTATTATATATATTTTTCAAAGTATTCCACACCTTTTAGTCTAAGACTAATATTTTCGGTCAGGGAATTATAAGGTTATGACTCATCCCTACAAGTAGGGGTATAAACGAGGCAGACCAAGTCAAGTTTTAACTTAAACGATTTAGACCTATATAAATTATTTCAAGTTTGATTTGACTTGTTAGCTTGACACAACTCAAATTATAAATTTGGTCTGACTTATTTTAAAAAATACAAGGCTTGGCCTAGTCTATCAAGTTTACCAAGCCTTTAAAAATAATATATTACACTCTATAAATTATAGGTTATAATTACTTTGTACAATAGGTAAATACAACTCAAAATATTGACAATTTAACTACGTTATTGAAAATAAAAAACAATCAATCAAATCAAATTGCATTATTTTTAATTATAAAATTAAATTTTATTTTAATTTAAAATAAATTAAAAGAAGCAACTAAGATATTTAAACATAAAAAAAGCAACCACCAAACAAGTGAAAGTCAATCAAATTAGACTAATAAAATATAAATATATTTGAAAGTCAATTTTTAAAATGACAAGTACGTTATAATTCAAAATTTATGTAGACAAATCATGCAAGGAGAACAACGATAATACAACTCAGCACTGAAGATGTCCATCAATTAATCAACTTAGAAATTTCCAATGAAAAATAATTAAATAAATAAAGAGAAGTGAACAAATAATAAAAGACAAACATAAACACATGCCCAACAAACAAAGACAAGATGCATACATGCATACAACACCCACAAGTGAGAAGAGCGATGACGACGAAGAAGTTTAGAGTTAACAAATAATGTGTTTGTCAAGTGAGAAGAGAGAAGATTGCGAAAAATTAAAAAATCATAAAATTTTATTTTATTAAAATATAACAACATAAATAATAAAATATTATTTTATTGAAAAACAATAAGATATTATTTTATTAAAATAGAACAAGATATTATTTTATTAAAAAAGAACAAGATATTATTTTATTAAAAAATACAAGCAGGGCCTAAGGCTTAGAGGCCAGGCCTGCTAAAATAAGCTTGTGGCTTAATTTCTAAACAAGTTTATTAATGAGCTCAAGCCTGTACTATTTTT